ATGATGATTTTATTTCACAATTGGATCAAAGATGGCCGACTGGCAGCCATCTTGTTTTTTGAAAATGTCGTATTTTGGACATGCTTTGTCAGTTTTGATTCAAATTTAGTACATAGATAATACATGTTAGGATACATGTCCCCGACCATCCGTGAGTTTCTGAGTCTGTCCGTCCGACCGTCCGTGTGTCCGTCTGTCCATGCGTCAGTCTATCCAACGTCATATTTCAGAATTCCTTGGACCGATTCTGTTCATTCTTTGCATGTGCCTAGTACTTTATGTGGGACATATGCACATGCAGTGGTTTAGCGATTCGATTCAAAATAGCCGACTGGCAGCCATCTTGTTTTTTGAAAATGTTGTATTTTGGACATGCTTTGTCAGTTTTCATTCAAATTTGGTACATAGATTATAAATGTTAGGATACATGTCCATGATGATTTATTTCACAATTGGATCAAAGATGGCCGACTGGCAGCCATCTTGTTTTTTGAAAATGTCGTATTTTGGACATGCTTGTCAGTTTTCATTCAAATTTAGTACATAGATCATACATATTAGGAAACATGTCCCTGACCGTCCATGAGTTCCTGAGTCTGTCCGTCCGACTGTCCGTGTGTCTGTGCGTCAGTCTATCCAACGTCATATTTCAGAATCCTGTGGACCGATTCCGTTCATTCTTTGCATGTGCCTAGTACCTTATGTGGGACATATGCACATGCAGTGGTTTAGCGATTCGATTCAAAATGGCCGACTGGCAGCCATCTTGTTTTTGTTTTTTTATGCGGTATCTTGGACGTGCTCTGTCAGTTTTCATTCAAATTTGGCACATACATGTACTTTATACATGTTAGGATGCATGTCCATGACAATTTGTTTCAAAATCTGGTCAAGGATGGCCGATTGACAGCCATCTGACTTTTTGGCCTTACTACTATATTTCCACAATTTATGTACTATTTTCATTCGTATTTGGCACATACATCATACATATCAGTGTGTTTCATAATCAGATCAAAGATGGCTGAATAACGGCTGTTTTTATTTTAGCCATATTACTATGACACGAAACACGTGTTTTGATGTAAATAAACAATCTGTTGTATACGCCACTTGGAACTCAAATTTCAAGGACACGCTCGCGACAACCCTCCGCTTTAATATGACGAGCACAAAGAGAACTTAACAGGGACTGTGTCATTTTCAATGACTTGTTTTTAATTATGATTTACATCGGTAATGACGTTTTCATCCAATATTAATTGTGCAATTGTTAAAATGCCGACCTACACATTTATTGTTTTTGTTTCTGTTGCCCTGAAATAGACATTTGTAAAAAAAAAAAAAATTAAAAAAATCGTGCTTGATTAAAATTAAAAAAAAAAGATGTAGTCATGTAGCCCCTTCCTGTTACCTGTTTTCAACTTCTTCCAAAGTAAAACTGGCGAAGCCTTGTAATTGTCATACAATCATCAAACTGTGGGAAAACTTGTATGTTATTGAAAATCTTTATTTTGTTGTCTGTGAATTAATATAATAAATATAATCAAATGGCATAATGGTGCAAAATATTCTCAAACAATCAGTCTTCTGATGACACTACACTGCGCATTTACCGGTATGCACAGTCAGTATCCCAATGCGT